GATCAAACGAGTTGAGATTATCCAGTGTGGTGTGCATATTGACCCGAGTGAAATTTCTTCATCATTCAACAGTTGCTTTCATGATCGGGTTCTTTCACAGCCACCGAACATGGCGGTTTTTGTGTGTATAAATGTAAGAGTTTCACACCTGAGGAGTTTCTTTATTTTTCACATTTCTAATACATCTGTTTTTGCCATATACCGAACGCGATGGTAGTCATACGAAACTGGACGACTGAGTCGTGCTTATTGCGATTAGTCCCCGTTTGGGCTCGAACCTCCCCGAGATTGGAGGCAGCATCTTATAATGACGAGCAGCTCCATGATCAACAGATGCACTGAGGTGAAATAGTATCTTTGGGATAACAAGTAAAAGTAACTGGATGGTCACAAGTCACAAACGACTTTATTTACCCTAAATGGATGGATTTTCAACTTCTTGCACACACCAGGACAATGTATCATCATCAGAAAAGTAAAACACAGCGTCATAAATTCATGAGGTGTAAAAATGTGAAAATGGATATCATTTAAGTAGGATTTTTTTAAGCTGTCTCTAATGGCAATGGCCGTGGTACGAGTATCTACACATTTATAATGATACCTTGTTACGCAAGTGGATACACACTGTTTAAGTTCAGTGTGTATGGGTGAGTGATGTCTGATAGAATATTGTTGCAGAAGTTTTCGCAATAGGTAAACTGTTTGTCGGCGATAAAGTTGGGCAAATGCAAATAGGGAATACCGATCGTGCGTAGAATTGCGTGATCTTTGAATCTAAAATTGTTAATAAAAATGGGGAACAGTAAAGAAGATGAGTAACAACACAAGAGTATACAAATCGGGTGAGTAAATACAGTGGAACTTTTAAAGATCGCAAACAGGAAACAAAGAAGCACAATCATCGAATCTTTTTAAAGCTAGAGTTTAAATGTGAAGTCCAGGTGGGCTCTTGGCAGATAGTAACACCGGGGTGCTATACAGAACGTAATGGGAGACAGACTGGTAACCAATAGGCAGTGTAGAGAAATTTCTTTTAAAAGGTTGTGGCCGTTCTCTTTTGGCTAGTGAGAAGGTGACATTCATACATTCAAATGATTTGATAGATAATTTAGAATACGAAGACCGTAAGCGTAAGACAGATAAATTAGTTTGAAGTGTTGAGAACTGGAAATCACCTGGGGATTTGGAATCCATGGTGACATCATCAGTAGGGTGGGTCTCGAATATAGAAAGAGCTTCTCTGAAGTGACCATTAGTGCATCAGTAAAATAATCTGAGAGTAGAGAAAATGTAGTAATGGACAATGCCTAGATGATGAATTCGTCATATAAGTGAGGTGTGTGCTGAAAAGCTAGGAAGCACTGTACAGTTGTTTCGATCTGGTTGGGTCTCATCAGCAGCGCGAATCCATCTACCCAACTGAGAATCGACCCCATAACCTCACAGGCAGAACACAAACATACTACCCACTCAGTCACCGGGCAGAATTATTGTAGTTGAGGAAATACACACGAAATTCTGTACAATCCCTGTATAGGGATTGCTAAACTGAGTTTACGAAGTGCGCACAGAATTCTAAGGTAGAACGTTGTGTGCGATTAGCGAATTGTCCGTGATCTAACTGTCCAGTGTTAGGAATAATGTTATTAAGCTTAAACTTTTCACAAATCTTTAGTAAACGGCAGTGTAGGTCGAACTTTTCCGACTTGTTTGGGACTGATGTCAAGATTTTGGATATCATTCTTGATCAACACCGAAAGTTTGTTTGACTGAAGCTTGATTACGAGATTTTTATGCCCGTTCCGTGATTCTTCTGATGGTCTGCAAGGTAGTGTAAGAAAATCTGGCTGGGCTGTTATACACAGTGTCACAGGTGAAACCAGAGGTTCAAATAGTTAGTGAGGTGTTCATACTCGACCGAGACACTTCGGTCAAAGAACTGATCAAAATTTGAATGAGAGACCATTTCTCATCTGTCTCTCTACTCCTCCCTGGCTATGACATATCTGTCGACCACTAACAACATTGTTTGCACGGTTATACAAACAATTCAACTGATCAGATCATGCATTATTTTCGAAAATGGTCAACTTTAGTTGTCCCATGAATGTGTGTGCGGTGGAGGTAAAACGTTTATGTTTGACTGCAATAGAGGGTGATCATTAGGCATCATCCGGTGATGAGAAATCAATCACCAATTCAAACTTTATTTTACCGGTCACTTTTGAGGTCTCGTTATTGAAAGGGTCACTTGCTTCGCGTAGCTTCATTTTGCGTCGAACCATTTTCCCTATTTGTTCACTGTGCTCACTTTTAACTTCCCTGAATGTGTGACGGAAATTTTATGTGGATTCCTCGGGAAACAGGTTTGGATATGATAGATTTAATAACCCACGTACTTACAACTGAGAAGATTCCGGGCGAGGTTAGGCCAACGGGTTCAACTCAGCTATTATTGCCACAACATGGTCAATTACCCAACCTGGGGTTTTGTAATTATCCGCGATTGGCCACTACATATGTGCCACGTGTGTGTTGCGTGTGTGTGCGTGTGTGTGTGTGTGCACGCGTGCGCACGTACTGAATCAACCAAGTATTCGTCCCCACTGCAGTCGAATGCAATTTCAATCACACGGCATTTAGGATGTTGGATCTTGTTAGTTTGATTGATTGGTCCTTATGCGTCAAAAAACGTGATTGCATCCTACACGTGTCAACTCACAAGACATGTACTTGAAGTACGCCCGAGCACACAAGAAGAAGTGCAGTCGATCGCGTTTCTCCCAACTGGAGAAACTATATTTCAACTGTTAGTAACTGATCCGACAATTGAGGTATTCTTG